CCCTAAAACCCTAAAACCTAACACCCTAAACCCTAAAACCCTAAACCCTAAAACCCTAAAACCCTAAACCCTAAAACCCTAAAACCCTAAACCCTAAACCCCTACTGTAAACTTGTTTGCTGGTCTCGCCAGGTCGGACCTCGATCTTGGCGCCACTCACGAGACGCGGGAGGGTTGAGGGTTTAGGCTTTTCTAGTTCATGGTTGGGGTAGTATTAAAAATTTAAACTTCTATTCCTTATTGGGTTTAAGTACCCTTAAACATGTAAAATGTTACCCAACTATGACAAAGTTTTGGGTTTGGGGCCTATAGGGGTTAGGGCCTAGGGCTTAGGGTTCAGGGCTTCAGCTTTGGCTTAGGGGACTTTTCAAGCCACGACCAGGGTTTAGGGTTTAGGGTTGTTTAGGGTTTAGGGTTTAGGGTTTCGGGCCGGGGGATCGAATCGCGGCTTTGTCAGAAGGCGGAATGGCGAACCTTCCTCGCGGATCTTGGTCTTTTGCTTCAGAGAAAATGAAGGATTTGGAGTTTAGGGTTTAGGGTTTCAGGGCATCCTCCCTCTCAGCTTTTCCACATGATGCCAGCATCCACTGGACCATCCCAAGCTACAAACCCGAAGCCCTGAACGACTTCAAGATCAAACAAAAGAGCAGGCAAACCATGCCGTGTCAGAAGCCGAAGCACCAAAAATTGCAACTGGCCAAGCCTGCTGCAAACGCTCGTCCGCCGCGATGTCGGCTTCGGTGTGATCACGGCCCACGCGGAGGAAGACCTGTACCGTGGATGAGGCTGCCCGATCAAGCACCCTAGCTTTTTCTGCAACCCCCGACATACAAACCCCCCTAGTCAAGCTCTATCAGACCTTCTCAACCCGCTGGAAGCCCAGCCGGTTTATGGTTTAGGGCTTGGAACTCAACCCTGAAACCTAGACCCTAAACCCCAGACATCCTCCCTAGACCCTAAACCATAAACCCTAACCCTAAACTCTATACCCTATACCCTCCTCCCCAAACCCCTAAACCCGAATTGTGGTTCTCTTGTCCGGTGTAGTGGAGCCTCCTCCAGGGTCGTCACGGAGACGCCAAAGAGCTGAATTCCATAGCCTGCAACCCGGAGACAAAAGCGCTGGCATCTGTGCTCCTTAAGGGCTTTCAGGCTTGGGGGTTTTGGGGGTTTTGGGTTTTTCTGGAAAGAAGCAATATTTAAGGGGATTTCAGGGTTTACGAACTTAAGGGTGAAGGGTTCAGGGGGTTTGGGGTTTAGCCGTTAAGGGCCTCGCAGCTGTTGAGAACCAAAGCCTGGAGGTTTGCGCTTCTGGGACCCTAGGGTTTAGGGGTTTAGGGTTTAGGGGTTTAGGGGTTTAGGGGTTTAGGGGTTTAGGGGTTTAGGGGTTTAGGGGTGTAGGGGTGTAGGGGTTTAGGGGCTTAGGGTTTAAAACCACAACCCTCAAGCCCGAGGGCCCGAAACCCCTGAACCCTAAAGCCCTAAAACCCTTCACTCTCAACCCTAAACCCGACTTCTGGGCTCCTATACCCAAGGGACCAACAGTTGAACTTTCGAACTTAATGAACTTATAACAAAATTTAAAAAGGCTTAGGTTTAGGGGTTAGGGTTTAGGGTTTAGGGTTTAGGGTTTAGGGTTTAGGGTTTAGGGTTTAGGGTTTAGGGTTTAGGGCTTAGGGCTTAGGGCTTAGTTGGGTTTTGGGCTGCTGAACCCAAAACCTCAACCTCTGCTCCCTTCTAGTGCCGAGGAGCTCTCGGGACGAGTCTCCAAGCTTTCGAAGAGCTTTGGGAAGTTTCCGCTTTCCTGGAAGAGATGGCGAGAGCTCCAGCTAGGATCTGTCTAGAGTTTAAGAGCTTTTGGGTTGTAGGGCTTAGGGTGTTACTGTTGATGATACGAATCCTGCATTACCACAAGGACCCCAAACTATGGGAGTTACGGCATATTCCCTGTTTTGGGTAATGCAGGGTTTATATCATCAACCGTATGTTGCCTGCTGCACATCGCCTTGCGTTGGTGCTTATGGTGTGTGGGCAGAGCTTGGATTGAGGGCTCATGCATGAGGTCTGCAACTGCGCAAGAAGATCTTCTGCATGCTGCAGGGGGAGCCAAGCCTGAAACTTAACATGCAAACGGTGGACCAAGCCTGGATCAACAGAACGTAACAGGACCGTGCCAAGTAGGAATGCAACTCAAACTCGGCACGTTCGCACTGTCTCTATCTGCCGCCTGGGCCTATCTTGCTCCCTGAGGGCATACTACCAGCCGTAGTCGGTTCGCTTTTTGGCATGCGTGCACCTGAGCACCAAGTCGTCGAGCCCTTATCCCCTAAACCCTACACCCCGAAACGCCCAAACCCTCAACCCGAAACGCCCAAACCCTACAACCCCCGAGCCGCAAATAAACCCCTGGCCGAAACTCTAAAACGCTAAAGCCGCAAAGCCTTTAACGTCCAAAAAGCCCTGACGTCCTACTACCCCAAAGCCTAAAACTCTTAACCCCCGAAACCCCGAACCCTCAACCCCAAGACCCTAAGACCCCAAACC